GACTGGCTTAGGCTGTCAAGATTGGCTTTCCATTTTAGAAGAGCTTCTGCTTCCTCCCATCCTTTTGCTACTTCATCTCCAGTAGCCGAGTAAGCAAAAGAAGGAAAGAAGGAAGAATAAGCAAGCAAGGAAAAAACAAACAAAGGTATGGAGAAAAGCAAAATTTGGGAAGTCATGGCCTTTGGTAGTGTAATTTCTTAACGAAGATGAATAAAATGATTTGGGCTGAATATGTATATATAGAGAATGAAAATAAGTAAATGAGTTATTAATTTGTCCTACAGAAAATATAATTTTTTTTTTATTTCGTCAATTACTAGCCACCACCTACAGAAAATAATAATTTAAACTATTTTCAAATAAAGTTGTACATAAAAAATAAAAAAAAACTCAATTAATTTGAGCATTCAACTTTTATTTTTTATTCTGTTAATGCCTAACTTTTAATTCTATCTAGTCCAAATTTTGATTTCATTTTCTGTTCGCATTTCCTTAGTCACCTAAGATTGAAAATATCTTAGGATTGCACCTTAATTTTGGCTAAAGAGTATTGTGGTTAAGTAAGAATTGAAGTAGATGGAATTTGAGGATTTTATAATATTTATTGTACTAGAAAAATATTTTTTATTGATTTTTTTTTTTGTTAACCTCACTTTTTTTTTTAATCAATATTGATATATTTCATAAATTTCAATAAAAAAATTAAAATTTATCCAACATTTTGCTGTTAATATTACCGATGAAATGGACACTTAGGGATTGAAACAATGAAGAGAAATGTGGACTAATTGAAACAAACCAAAATTCTAAGGTCAAATTGAAACACCTCATAAATATCAGGGACAAATTAAAATTCACTATCGAATTTATGTGCTCCCTCTCACACCGGTGGTAGGTTTAGTGGTTAAAATTTGAATTTCATCTTTAACTGCTCCAATCCCAGTCTGATTTTCAAGAAAGTTTGCTTTATTTCTCGATTTTTTTTTAGATTTAAATCTTAGAACTAGCATTCAGAATTTATTAATTTTTTTTTTTTTAAGTTGAAGTTTGTAGTTGGATATTTTGTTAGTAAGAGATAATGAAAGAGTAGCCTTTTCATTGTAGCTAGGAATCTATATTACCAAGATTTTTAAAAATTGTCACAAGTATTATAGGGTTGTATAAATTTTTTAAATATCATAAATTAACTTGGCTAATTTGTTTTTCATAACGCATGAAACTAGAATGTTTGTTCTCGATAATTTTATTTTACCCATTCTATTTGTGTTTTCAACGTTTATATTTTGACATAGATTATATTTTGTCGAATGTAAATAAAAGTATTAAAAAAGATTTGATAAAAAAGAGTTTAATACCAACTAAACGAAAAAAATAAAAAATAAATAAAGCCTACGAATGAAAAAATAATTGTAAGAAAAGTACGGGATGATAAGGTTGTATTTCTATATATGTTAAAAGTGTGTTACGTAATATATATACAAGTATGCTCGATAAACATGAAGGTAGTTGTATCGGGTTACAACTCTATCACATGGAGTTAAAGTAACCTAGTATAACTCTATCATTATCCCCGTAACTCTTATCCTTATCACCCTTCGGCAAGTTGTGTAAGGGATGGAACAATGCACAACTTTTTTTGAACTTATGGAACGAGCTCGGATAATGGCTTAGTTAGGATATCCGTAATTTGATCGGTAGTAGATAGATAACGGACGTGCGGGTGCCTTATCTAACTTTATCTCGCACAAAATGAAAATCAATCTCGAGATGCTTGGATCGAGAATGAAAAATTAGAGTGGTTGTTAGATAAGTGGCGTAAACATTATCGCACTAGATTGTAGATAGTGTAAAGCATAGCATACCAATTTCTCGGAGGAGAGACTCTATCCGATCAACTTCGCACAAGTGGTGGCCAATGCGCGATATTCGGCTTACGTAGACGAGCGAGCAACCGTGCGCCGTTTTCTAGACCGCCAAGAAACAAGGTTTTTATCGAGGTATATGGCAAAACCGGATGTACTTTTGCGATCATCTAGATCACCACCCCAATCAACATTCGTGTAGGCATTGATTGATATAGGAGAAGATTTGTGAATGAACAACCCATGATCCTTGGTGTCCCGAATGTAGCGGAGGATCCATTTAACGACTACCCAATGAGTTTCGGTGGGGGCATGCATGTATTGTGCCACTTTATTTACAAAGTAACCTAAGTCGAGTCCGGTAATGCCCGGATATTGCAGTCCTCCTACGATGCTCCGGTAGAGGAATGGATCCGTAAATGGGGTACTTGAATTGCTACTTACTTTGGTATTGGGACAAGCGAGTGTACTCATACCTTTAGTCCGATGCATGTTGGCCCGGATGAGGAGTTCGAGTAGCATTCTTACACCGAGAAAGGAATAGACCATCGGATCGTCATTGAGCTTCTATTCCAATAAAGTAATGTAATAGGCCTAAGTGCTTAATAGCAAAAGTATTTTGCAAGGCTGAAATTGTGGAGTGGAGCATCCGTTTATTGCTTCCCGTTATCAACAAATCATCAACATACACTAAGCAAAATATGATGCCTTTACCATATTTACGGAAGAACATGGAGACATCCGTTTGGGAACTAGTGAATCCTAAGGACGGGAGAGTGCCTTGAAGACATTTGAACTATTGGCGAAGTGCTTGTTTCAAGCCATAAAGTGATTGTTCCGACTTACAAACATGGGTCGGTTTTTATGGATCAACAAACCTCGGTGGATGCCGCATATAGACCTCCTCATCCAAAGGTCCATGGAGGAAAACATTAGACACATCCAGCTGCTCTATCGGCCAACCAAATGAGATAGTAAGGGAGAGAATCAATCAAAGTAGTCGTCGGTTTTATAACAAGGCTATAGGTATCATTGAAATCGAAACCCAAATATTGGTTAAAACCCTTTGCTACTAGCCTTGCTTGTACTGTCTAGAGTCCCATCCGCCTTAGTCTTGATCTCGTATGCCCATTTATTCCTAATCACGTTATATGAGAGGAGGCGTGGAACAAGGTCCTAGGTGTTATTTTGGATTAGTGCTCGTATTTCAGCAGATCATGGCGACCGCCAATGAGGCCGTGATTTTGCTCGAGAGAATGTTTGAGGTTCAAGAGAGGGAACCGGTTTGGAGAAGATGTATGGTTTTAGGTTGTCGGCTTTGGTACGAGTGATCATTGGGTGGGTGGAGGCTGGCTTTGGGTTTTCGCGGGAGTATTGGCGGTGGGGGGTATCCGGTATTGACGGAGATCATAGGTTTAAGTCACATAGGTAGGGTCCGGTTCGTCGAGGGGCTGAACTAGGGTGTTGGTCCGCGTGAGTTTTTGGTGATCTTGGTGACCTATTGGTGGCGAGGAGATGGGGGAGAGTGTGGAGTCTGTATAGGGCGTGATTATGTATCTCTCGAGGCTGGTATGTGAGGTAGGAATAGGCATCCGAAGGTGGGTTATTGCTGCTAGCAAAATATGCGACGATGTGTTTTCCGGTAAAAGGGGGTCCGTGGTGTTGATGAAGGAACTTGTAGCTGCATAAGGTTTGCATGGGTTTGTAATAAAGGGACGTGACTTTGCATGGGTGGTGTATGAGTTTTTGTAGGGTGTTCTTTGGGGAATTGGTGAAGGGTATCATGGTTTGGTGATGGTAGTGGGAGGGGTAATGTGGTCGCCGGATTATGAACTATTGGTGGACTCGATCCGGCGACGCAAACGAAAACACTCGGTTCATCAAATAAGACATGACGTAAGATGACATTTTTTTGGATAAATCATAACACAAGTAACCTTTAGATGTTTTGCTATATCCCAAAAAAATACAAGCGAGAAGACCTAAGTGCTAATTTATGTCTAGCATATGGCCTTAACTATGGATAACATAAACAACCAAAATTTTTAGCTCATTATAGGGAGGGTCGTGCCCAAAGAGAGTGGAATAAGGGGAATGATTTTGTAGTTTGGGTGTGGGAAGACGATTGATGGTGTAGATGGTCTGCGAAAAAGGCATAGGTCCAAAATTGCAATGGGACGGATGCATGTGTAAGAAGGGCTAGACCTATTTCAACTACATGGTGATGTTTTCTTTACGCATAACCATTTTGTTCGATGTTTTAGGACATGCAATTCTTTAGGAAATTCCATTATCATTGAGGTATTTGGTTAGGGCTTGATATTCCCTCTCTATTCATACCGAAATTGTTTTATAGGTTTGTAAAAAAAAAAAATTCAACAATGTGTTTAAACTTTATAAAACGAGTTTAAAACTTCGATTTTTTACGAAGGAAGAAAAGCCAACAATATTTATCGTAATGATCATAAAACGGAACATAATATGAGTAGTCATCTATAGATGAAACAGGGGAGGGTCCCCGGAGGTGAGAACAAATAATTCCAACGGAGCTTTGGTCTTATAAGTAGATAATGAAAAAGGAAGTTTATGAATTTTACTATTAGAGAAAGCATGAGATAATGAATGAAAAGTTGACAAAGGAACATTAATTTTAGAATTCTTCAAAGCTTGATGAACGAGTTCGATTGAGGCGTGCCCAAGGCAAGTATGCCAAGTTTTTAAGGATGCACTATGAGCTTGAATGGAAGATGGTTGTCCCAATGCATGATCTATGTAAAAGGTGTAGAGGCCATTTTCAAGGGTTCGACGTGTAGGAGTTCCCGAGAAGCCAAGTCCTTTATGCAAAATTTGTCGGGAGAAAATTCTATAGAGCAAGAGTTAGTATTTGCGAAATTGCTCACAGAGAGTAAGTTTTGAGTGCTAGAAGAAACATGCAAAACATTTTCAAGAGAAAAAGTATGATTACTTAGTGTAAAAAATGTTGAACCAACATGAGATATAGGAACATGTTTACCATCCGTTAAGTGGACTTCATCGGGACCATTGTACTCATTGTGAATAGCAAGGTTCTCCAATTGTCGTTGTCAAATGATGAGTAGCACTAGTGTCCATAATCCATTGTTGCTATGGTTGGTGTAACTATGCTAGGTTAGAGACTCGGTTTGGTTTGGGTTCGTAGGTGCGAGATTTTGGTGAGGGGAAAACATTAGCAAGGTGATCTGGTTCCATTATAGTTATAGCATGTGATAGTGTTGGTGTCGAGCAGCGTATGTAGGGAAGAGTTGCTCCTAGAGCTTGAAGTAATAGAGGAAGGTATTGTCCCGCGACATCATCTCGCCACGGTTTGGGTTGTGGTGATCGGTATAGTGGGTCAGTTATGGGAACATCAACATGGTGTAGACTTCCTTGTAGTTGCAGCTCTTCACTAAGAGAAAGTCCATATAAGGCTTCATAACCGATGGATTCATGCCGAGACTTAATGGAACGGACAAAAGGTTTATAAAGGGAGGTGAAGCCGCGCAATAGATCTTGGACAAGATCCTCCTTAGGAACGCCCGAACCAAGGGATTAGAGTGTGTCAAACATGCCTTTCCCACGTTGGAAGAAGCGTGGGATCAGCTCACTCGGACAATTGAGTGAGCCTATACGGATTGCTTTTGAGATGATTGATCCGCGTTCTTGTTCCAGTGCCACAAGTCGCTCGTCAATTTTGTCCGAGCGACTTGTTCGATAGCGAGCATCAACGACTAGAGGGAGCACCATTTCGGAGAGTGAGCCAATGATCCGGTGAGTACTAACCGATCATTGCATTCCCATTGAACGAATAGAGGGTTTTGTTCATTATTGATGGTGTATGGGGGTGGTCGTTAAGATCCATCTATGTGGTGCGAGCAAGCCATGGCAACGTAATAGTGGCTAGAACCGAGTTTTCTAGAGGATAAAATTCGTTATGGTGAGTTCGAGAAGGAAGTGAGTGTTTAGGTTTGGGAGAGGAGGAGGAGCCATGGAGGATGAAGTGGTGGTAGGGAAGCTAGAGAGGATGCTGAAGTTTGTTCCGTGTCTTCAACGGCCATGGAGTCCGGAGGAAAAAACAAAAAAACAAACAAATATACGAGAAGATACCAAGAACCGAAGTGTGCTTTGTTCGTGGAAAAACAGAGGCGAAAGCAACAAAAGTTACAGCAAGTTACTTTAGCAAGAGCGAGGGGTTGTTAAGCCGATTCTAACCAAAGAGGAAAAAAAAAAGAGGATCCGGACGGTTAAGTCACGATCGGGTCCGATACCATGATAAAGTTGTACTTCTATATATATTGAAAGTGTGTTATAGAGTATATATACAAGTATGCTCGATAAACATGAAGGTAGTTGTATTGGGTTACAACTCTATCACATGGAGTTAAAGTAACCTAGTATAACTCTATCATTATCCCTATAACTCTTATCCTTATCACGGGAGTCATTCTTTTTTTCAAAAAAAAAAAAAAAAAAGGAAGAAGAAGAAGAAAGAGAAGATACAAGAGAGAAATAGTTAAATTTTACGATCAATTAAAGCTTTTCAATATTTCTATGTTTCCATTAAGTTGGTTTGTTTCAAATCTAAGTCTCAACAAATTAGTTTCCTTCTTTCTTGATACGTCTATTCCAAATTCAATGAATTGGAACCAACTTGTGGAAAAGATAAATCGAAAGGTACGAAGGAAGATGCTTGGAACATTGCATATCTAATTGCATATCTCATGAGCCCTAAATTGTTTTTCGTTGTTATACTTATGAGGTTTGTGTAGTAAGTCTTATTTGGGTTTTAGAGATGAAACTATTCAATTATTTTATTTATTTTCTTTATAAAAATTCAATAATTTTATTTTATCCATTCTATTCGTGTTTTCCATGTTTATAAGCACCAACAAAATTTTCAAATTACAAATATTAAATTGATAAGTTATGTGGAACTAAATTATTTTATTGATGTTTTCTTAAAAAGTCACATGTAATTTATTAGAACTAATCATTTTTTAAATTGGTACAAATAAATTCACTAACAATTTTGTTATTCTCACAACTTGATTTTCTTAAAATGGCTAATATACCTTTTCATTAATGTTTATTATATTACAACTTAAAAGAGTAATTTATGTTAATAATAAAATGAATAGATTATAATGGTTATTTTGAAAAATAAGTTGTGGGAATAATAGTTTTTGTAATGATCATTTTGATGTTTTTCTTGATCAAAATAGCAAGAAAAGAAGAGAAAAGAAAGAAAGAAAGAAACATATATAAGGCTACATATGTGTTAAGATGTGAAAATTGATGTGAATGGAGGACCTGTAATACGTAATGCTACGCATATGGCGGTCTCGCTAGCCGGGTTAATGGGTAGTGTCCTTTATAGGGGTTCGAGAGTCAAGCTTCCGAAAGGTCAACAAAATATTGGATCGGGTATATAGGTCCGTTAAATATTTTTTCTTATAAATCTAGTTGTCCATATTATAAATAAAGATAGCATCACTTGTATTTACAACTATCATTTGAAAAAACCTTCAAAAGAAATCCTTAAGCAGTTATGAAAGAAGTATAATTGTCAAACCACATAAATCTCTATATTATATGATTATTTTTATTTTTTTATTTTATTTTCTTAATTGATTTTTTTTTAACAATAAGTAATGGAGTATTTCTTAGGAATTTCCAAATTTGAACATGAAGTCGTTGCCTTTACTATTATTATTATTATTATTATTTTCCGTTGGATACCCCAATTTTTTGTTGTACTCAATGCCTCTCAAGCTTTGCTCTTCAACTTTTCTTGTTTTCCTGACAATGACTGAAGTTCCTTTTAGATTAGATAAATGTCTCCAATCACCGTCATCTAGATGTCGAAAGCTGGTTGACTTTGAACACTTCAATGTGGAATTTCATCTTCGTTAAAAATGAAGAGCACGAGATGTTTACATACAAAGATGGATCCATAACCAAGACTAATCTACATCGACCCTATTATTGGTTTCTTGTTCTCAACGTTTACAAGCAAATCCTTTTATTGGCTTTTCATGTTTTCCTTCATAGATATAGAAAATCTAGTTTCGAAGCAATCTATTTCTTTCGATCGCAACCACAAAGGATGTAAGTCGATATAATATGTTTCAATATTTTAAATTTAAAAATTTTAGGTGTAAATAAAAATTAATTAACACTAATTATGAGAATTTATTTAATTTAAAATGTATTATATAATATTTCATAAAATGTTTATATTCTAAAATTTAAATATATCCTATGAATGTATTTGATTTTAATCAATAAAAAAATACAATTAATTATTTTTTAAAAAAAGTTAAATTAGAAGAGGGTGATAAATCAATTTATATTAAAAGATTGTTTAGTTTTATTTAATGATTCTATTAAAAAAAGCTTTAACTATTGACAAAAAAGAAAAAAAGAAAAAAGCACAGCCCAATTAAAAAAAACACACACACATAAACTTTGTTGTAATACAAATTAAATATAGGGTCTGTTTTGTAAATATCACTATAAAAGCATAAGAAAAGGGCAAAAAAAAAAAAAAAAAAAGGCCCTTTGGGATAGACCTAACTCCTAAGACAACCAAGTCCACACGTCTGAGTTGAAAGTGCAACCCAGTCAGTAAAAAAGAACACAAAGACCTTATTATCTTTTAGTATATGAATAATTGACATTAAGTTTTTCATGGTTGTATATAGTCACCAGTCAATTTGCTATTACTTTCCTGATGGCTTGTTAAATGGGGTGCTTCCTGCTGTGCTTTTTCTTCCTAGGAGAAAGTCAAATTACTTTTCTTTTCAAGCTACTAGTTGGATTTGTGGATGATAATACGGTAAGAAAATAACTACCACTATGAAGAATCAGGAAATATATGTGGAATGGTTGAATATAACTTGAATTCTGTAATCAATTAATGAATAAGTAATAAATACCAATGAGCTTGTATCTCATGAACCTGAACCTATGTCCTCCTTCCACGAAGCCCACAATGGCATGCCCTTGGTATGGAATTTTCTAATAATGCATGCAATGTTTTAAGTTTTGGTCCTTGTTAAGTGTAAACCAAGCAGAGCAGCATAGTTTGAGTCCAATCAACGAAGTAGAAAGCAAACTTAAACCATACGTTTTAAAAACATGTTATCCAAAATAAATAAATAAAATAAAATTCATTAGCACAATAAATTAAAAATAGCACCCAATTTTACCAAAATATATTTATAAATAAATAAATAAAATAGCACCTATAATATAGCTAATCCTTTATATATATAAAAAAAAATCTATAATTTCGTTATTTTTTTCATTTTATATTATTTTCTAATTTAATTTTCTTTTTGTTTTAAAACATAAAAAATAAAAAAAATTATACCATAAAAAAAAGATTGATGAAAAAAGAAAATATTATATGGAATAAAATATATTAAATTGAACATGATCAATACTTATTAAAAAAATTAAATAATTAATTAAAGGTTAATTAATTCATTTTTGGAAACGAGAGGGACTAATATATAATTTATTCTTCATTATTCTACTTTGTCTGTCTTCCGTGCACAAGTTCAAAGGTTGCAAACCAAATGAAGGCTTTAATTGAATAAATTATAAGTTAGTCCCTTTTGTTTGAAAAATAAGTTAGTTGGTCCTACTTTTTTAAAAAACTTATTATTTAGTTTTCTTTTCAATTTTATGTTATTTTTTATTTTTTTTCGAACTAGTTATCATTATAATTTTGATAGTCAAAGATCACAACATCAACAATAAGATGATAACTATTATTATGATTTTCCACGACAATCTTTTTAAAGATGAATATTTTATAATATGTATATCAAAATATAATGTATTTTATCATTTTTTATGTGATATGAATTTATTAAAAGTGTTATTAACTATTTTTTATAATAAATTCATCTATTATTATATTATATTAAACTATTAGAGATGTTATTATTTATTAGCATGCTTGATTAGTAAAACAATTAAAAATATATGAATTAGCTAGCTAGAATAAATTTAGGTTTAATGGTAAAATTTGCTCGTATTCTATTATGAATTGGCAAGTTCGAACCCATAGTATGGAATCGTGTAATTTGAATTCTAAAATATTGGAGATTCGACGAATGTAATCCAAATTGTGCAATCTTCATTATTTGTAACCATGAACCTAGGTGTCCGTTACTTTAATGTTAAAATGACCGAGTTTTGACATTCTCGTCGTTAATTATATTTTTTAAAAAATATTTTAAAAATATTTTTAAACCCTAATCTTATACCCTTTTTTAATTTTTTTCTTATAAAATATTATAAATATTTTATACATTAAATAAAAAAAATTATAAATATTTTTATCCCCCAAATTTTGAACCTTTTTTTATAAAATATTTTATAATTTTTTATATAATATATAAAATTAGGAGAGTCAACCCTTAATTATGCTCATTTTAATTTGTAAAAAAAATTTTTAAGGCCTAAAATTGTGTATTGTTAATTATATTTTTTTACAATAAAATTTTATAAAAAATGTTAAAAAGTTCAAAAGTAGGAAGTTAAAAATATTTATAAAAATTATTTATATATAATCTATAAAATATTTATAATATTTTATAAGAAAAATAAGACCTTGTTGTTACACAAATTAAGCTTAGAATGGAACCCAAAGTAGGAAAGTGTAAAATATTGCAGAAAATATCTTAAAAAATTACTTCTTTTTTTTTTTTTTCCAAAAATGATGACATAAACGA